AATGCCTGGAATGGCAGGAGGCATGCCTGGAATGGCAGGAATGCCTGGACTCAATGAAATTCTTAGTGATCCAGAGGTTCTTGCAGCGATGCAGGTAAGACTTGAAAGAAAAAAAAGGTTGGACTTTGCATTGTTCAGGTGTTTTTTCATAATTTTTTGTGGAGACAAAGGTTATTCTCTTCGCCATTTTTTTGTTTCATTTACCAAATAGCTAATTATGCAGGTGTGATACTCATTTTCTTTTCACAGAGTGAATATGTTAAGTTTTTAAACATTATTTATATATAATGCTCGTAATACCAAGTTGTTTTACTTCTATCCAAATTGTGTCTTTTTTTTTTTTTTTTTGGAGGCGGAGTCTCTCTTTGTTGCCCTTGGTAGAGTGCTATGGCATCATAGCTCATAGCAACCTCAAACTCAAGCAGTTCTCTTGCCTCAGCCTCCCAAGTAGCTTGGACTGCCCACCACAATGCCCAGCTATTTTTTAGAGGCGAGGTCTTGCTTTAGCTCAGGTTGAAACTCCTGAGCCTCAGGTGATCTGATTGGCCTCCCAGAGTGCTGGGATTACAGGCGTGAGCTGCCACACCCTTGGCCTTTTTTGTTTTTGTTTTAATTTTTTTTTTTTTTGGTTCTAATTCAAGTGGTATAATTCAGCTTGCCTTTGAGGTGCTGATTAATAATATTTATATTGTTGGGCGGCACCTATGGTTCAGTGGGTAGGGCACTGGCCCCATATACTGAGGTGGTGGGTTCAAACCCAGCTCTGGCCAAACTGCAACACAAAAAATAGCTGGGCGTTGTGGCTGGTACCTGTAGTCCCAGCTACTCAGGGGTGCTGAGGCAAGAGAATTGCCTAAGCCCAGGAGTTGGAGGTTGCTGTGAGCTGTGACACCATGGCACTCCACCGATGGCGACAAAGTGAGACTCTGTCTCTAAAAATAAATAAATAAAATAATATTTATATTCTTAGCCATGACACAATTATAGGTCTAAATAAAGAGTCGGGATTAAGGATAATAAACTTGTTGACCCAATAAGATAACTTTTATTAAATCCTAAAAAAATTCCTTTCTCTCTAGGATCCAGAAGTCATGGTGGCCTTCCAGGATGTGGCTCAGAACCCAGCAAATATGTCAAAATACCAGAGCAACCCAAAAGTTATGAATCTCATC